GTAATGATGCTTTTGAATTCCAAATTGAACTGTAGCAAAGCTAAGCTGGATGGGAGTCAACAGGCTCAGACTTAATTCAGACAAGACCGAGTGGCTGTGGGTATTGCCTCCTAAAGACTATGTTGATTGTCCATCCTTGGGGGGGGGGGAGAAATTGTCCCCCTCAGAACGGGCTCGCAATTTGGGTGTCCTCCTAGATTCACAGCTAAGATTAGAGCAACATCTGTCAACTGTGGCTAGGGGGACTTTTGCACAGGTTCGCCTGGTGCACCAATTGCGACCCTACTTGGATCAGGAGGCTCTCCTCACAGTCACTCATGCCCTTGTCACCTCACGGTTAGATTATTGCAATGCGCTCTACATGGGGCTACCCTTGAAAAGTGTTCAGAGACTACAGTTGTTCCAGAACGCAGCCATGCGAGCTGTCGTGGGTGCACCTAGGTACACCCACATTACACCAATTCTCCGCGAACTGCACTGGCTCCCTATTGGTCTCCGGTCACAATTCAAGGTGTTGGTTATTACATGGCTCAGGGCCAGGTTATCTTCAAGACCGCCTTCTACCGCATAGCTCCCAGCGACCGGTAAGATCCCACAGAGTGGGTCTCCTCCAGGTCCCGTCAGCTAAACAATGCCAGCTGGTGGGCCCGCGGGGGAGGGCCTTCTCTGTGGCTGCCCCAGCTCTCTGGAACCAGTTACCCCCTGAGATCCGGACCATCCCCATCCTATTGGCCTTCCGAAAAGCGGTGAAGACCTGGCTTTTCCGGCAGGCCTGGGACCGTTGATCTCGCTGTTGCAATCTGGCGAGATCCGGCCATGAATGGTGTGAATGGGTTTTAATTGTTTTTAATGTTTTAATTTTTAATGTTTTTATATATGGTTTTTAAATGCATTGTAAGCCGCCTTGAGTCTTTGGAGAAAGGCGGCATACAAGTTGAACAAATAAATAAATAAATAAACCATACCTGGAATTCCAAAAACTTCCAGAAACACCGGATGACAGCAAAGAGACAAGGAAAAGTTAACTCTCTGTGGCCATTTCTTAGTCACCTGGATTTTTGCAGTCCAGATCTGACAGCTTTTTAGCAAAGATATTTTATTCCCCTCTGACCCATACATCTTCTATTTCTGTTAACAGGAGAGACTTGTAACTTTTGCCAAAGACCCAAAAGGATTCCTGGATGGATATTTGCCTAAGAAATTTTTACATTTCCTTGTTTGAGGCCTGAACTACTTTTCCTAATAGCTCCATTACCCTTTTTGGGATTCTGACTGTAGTTCTCCACTATCAGCATGCAGCCCTTCTCAGTTAACTTATATCAAAGCCTCTTTTGCCATTCAGCCCAGGTGGGAACTGCCCTGTATTCTTTCACAGGTTCCTGAGCAAGTTATAAGCCAAATTTAAAGAGAAAAGTCCTGTGGGAAATGTGGGCTCTGACTGTATTTCCAATGGGATTGTGTTTGGTTGGCTATGGCTGTCTGTTGAGGAATTTTTAAGCAGACAATTTTGAGGCCTTTCCTATAGAAAGTGTTCAAGAAATGAATATATTTCTTTCTCTTTCTGAACCCTTAAAAACATTTACTTGATAAACTACCAGTACAAATTTAAAGTTTTATTTATTTTTGCAGTTTACTGTTGCAAGTACAAATGGCATTGTCATAAAGGAGATTGCAGTATAAATAGGGGATCCTTTATTATTTCAAAAAATTGTAATACAAGGCTTCTGAGATTTTTAGTAATAGACTCGACTGCCTTATCTTCTCCTTACATCAAAAAGCTGGTGTGGAAAGTTAAGGTTGCCCAAAAGTTTGATCCTCAACCATTATTTGTGCATACACATAAATTTTCAAGGTGTATGTTTTGTTTAAAACAATTACTAAATAGTACTAGCTTTATAGTCATTAAATAATTTTCCCTTTGGATCATTGACAATGACAGAAAGAGAAATATGTAAAACGAGTTACTTTGCAGTAAATCATAGTATGTCCCACGAGAGGCTTAATTTTGCAGCCTACTTTCTGTCAAGTATTCCTTGTTTTTCTATTCTGGGGGAGGAAAATGATAAGGCAGGATAGAAAATTTGAAGAAGAAAAGCAGAGATAGTATCTACAAAAATAATACACTCTAATTATTTAAGGGTTGATTTGCTGAATCATAGGATGAAAGGAACTTTTTGCTTCTCATTCACCATGTGGAGAAAGAAATGACTTTTGAATTTAGACCTGTAGACAAGATCTAGAATGTGGAGGTAAAGATGATAAGTCAAAATTCCTTGGAGAGACCCCAAGGAACCCCAAGGTCACTCCAAGGAATTTTGACTTATCATCTTTATTTCCACATTCTAGACCTGGACTACAGGTCTAAATTCAAAAGTCATCTCTTTCTCCACATGGTGAATGAGAAGCAAAAAGTATATTTATCATACAATTCCACCAGTGGTGGGATTCAAATAATTTAACAACTGGTTCTCTGCCCTAATGATTTTTTCCAACAACCATTTCACCAAACTGGTCATAAAATTAACAACTGGTTCTCCCGAAGTGGTGCGAACTGGCTGAATCCCACCACTGAATCCCACCTCCTGAGGTCTCTACAGGAAACTCAACTACATTACAAGACTGAAGGCATATGACAAAATGCCTTTGAGTTGTCTGTGACAGAGCATATAAAAATGCTGTAATATTGGCATGTGAGATTGGTTTCTGTCTCTCCTCATACACAAATATACCCATGTTTAAGAGAAAGCAAACATATGCTTCATTTTTAAGAAAAAGCAAATATATCACCATCAAATTAAAATTTAATAGAGCTTCCATTGGTCAGATACAATTATATCAGGAAGAAAGAGTTGGTCTATGAATATTAGTTGTGTATTCAAGATGGGTCACAAGAAAAATATTGCCCCAGACCAGCTTTGCCTGTATCAAACACCTTTTGTATGTTCCTTTTGATCAAGAATATTTTCCTGGAGCAGAATAAATTAAATCTCAGTGCTCCATTTATGTAAGATATAGCAATTATCTGGATCTAATTAGAAGTTTTTACTACCGGTTCTGTGGATGTGGCTTAGTGGGCATGGTGTGGCTTGATGGGCATGGCTTGGTGGGCATGGTAGGGGAAAGATATTGCAAAATCTCCATTCCCACCCCACTCTGGGGCCAGCCAGAGGTGGTATTTGCCGGTTCTCCAAACTACTCAAAATTTCCGCTACCAGTTCTCCAGAACTTGTCAGAATCTGCTGGATATCACACCTGAGGTATATTTAATATTTTCATTGCTTAAACTCTGAAAAATATAATTTAGGAAAATTGTTTCCACAGAGTTAAAATACAGTAATAAATTCTGAAACAATATATAACAATGGAAAAAGAATAATGCATTTAACTCTTTAAAATGAATACGTTTAGCTGAGATTACTTTTTTGATCATTGGTACATAGAAATTGGTACAGCTTCAAAACAGTGAAGAGGAGATCGGATTATTGTTATAATTTCTTGTGTTAGTTAAGTCTAGATACCATTTGTGAACACTTTGTCTGAATGTCTGCTCTTATGTACAAAATAACATAACATAAGACCAAGCATAATTTAAGTAAGCGTGGGAGATTTCAAGAGTTTCAAAAGTAGCACAGATAAAAAGAGGGAGAAAAATAATAATGGAAAGACCTCACAAAACAGCTTCTTGAAGATAGAATAACTGAGTTGGAAGGGACCTTGGAGGTTTTCTAGTCCAACCTTCTAGCTTCTTCTAGCTCAGACAGGAAACCCTATACCATTTCAGACAAATGGTTGTCCAATCTCTTCTTAAAAACTTCCAGTGTTGGAGCATTCACAACTTCTGGAGGCAAGTTGTTCCACTAATTAATTGTTCTAATTGTCAGGAAATTTCTTCTTAGTTCTAGATTGAGGATTCCCTTAGATATCTGTGTGCTCATAGACTCAAACCCAATGACTCCTTAAATTATAGTTATTCTCCTTCATTCTTTGTATCTTTTCTTGTCTATACAAGCACTCATAGCCATGCAGACAACCTTAAACATAGCCTTATGGGATGCACATGAGATATTGGAGTACGGCCTCCGATCACTTCCTGAATCTTATTCCCAGCAGTCAGGTGACCACAGACAATGAAGAGAGATACCTCAAAATGTAGCTCAGCAATATTAAGGCAGCCACTTCCTCAAGTCTGTATGATACCACATTTGTCATCTCAGCTTCCTCTATCACTCATCCTTTAACTCAGGGGTGAAATGCTCCCGGTTTGGACCAGATCGCCCGATCCAGTAGCGATGGCGGCGGGTGGTTCGGAGAACCGGTAGCAAAAATCCCTGTGCCCCGCCCCCATGTCCAGTTGAGCCGTGCGATCATCAGAAGCTGTTTTTTTACTTTTAAAAGCATTTTTTCTACAACCTCTTCAGCTGAAAAAATGCTTTTAAAAGTAAAAAAAAAGCCTCTGATGCTCGCGCGGCTCAGCTGGGATCATCAGAGGCTTTTAAAAGCATTTTTTCTACAATCTCTTCGGCCGAAGAGGTTGTAGAAAAAAAAATGCCTTTAAAAGCCTCTGGTGATCCCAGCTGAGTTGCCTGATCATCAGAGGCTCCTGAAAGCATTTTTTTCTGCAACCTCTTCAGCTGAAGAGGCTGTAGAAAAAATGCTTTTAAAAGTAAAAAAAAAAAAAAGTTGGCCTCGCTCACCTAGTCACATTACCCCCCGCAAGCCACGCCCACAGAACCGGTAATAACAAATTTTAGATTTCACCCCTGCTTTAACTCATTACAAGGATCGATACTGTGCTGAGAATCAAAACTACTTTTGCCATTAATCATGAAAATATTTTACACCATCCAACTCTTATCATGCATATTTTCAGGACAGAAGGAAGCTTGTGTTCAAGTACCCGTCTGGCAACAACTTAGTACTTTGGAGGATTGTTAACCAAAAAAGGAATGCAAATATTTTCCGGCTACTAAAACAAAACACACATGCACAAAACAAACATATAACCAAAACCCCATACTTGCTTTATAGTTAATACATTTATAAGCAATTTGAGTTGTACAAGATGCTTGTCTTAGCTTGTGTACAATGAGCGAGCTCCTGTAAAATTGCATATAGTAATGTACTTTGTTACAAATATATATGCTTTCCCCCCCCAGCCTATCTAAAGGAGCAATAAAAAAAAAACTTCTCCTTAAGAAGTTGAAGACTTCATTTCAGTGAGTCATTTCCAGTTGCAACTTCCTTCTAGCACTCTTTCATTCAGGTGTGCTATAGGTTTTCTTTGGTAATTGCTGAAATTTTAAGCTCCTTGGGCTTTCTAACTTGGTGCTGACCTGTAATGGCTCTCAAGTTGGAGGAGAAATTGTTGGAAGAGTTGTAGAGGTTTCTGCTATGGCTACTGCTACAGTTGTACATTCTCTTCCACGTAGTATTAGGCGTAGGCAACGCCTAAATTCTTCGTTCTTCCAAGTATAGAGCAGTGGGTTGAAGGCAGAAAGAGAACAGAGAAGGAGCCAGCTGGATAACTGCAGCCCACGGGGGGCAGGCTGAAAGAAAAAACCCAGGAGGCTTACCCACACCAATGGTTGGGTTGTCAGGAGGAATGTTAGGCACAGGAGCAACACAGAGATGCTGCTCAAATGGCGCTGGGACCGACGGGGAGCTTGGCCAGTAGTATGGAGAAAGGGCAGCTGTTGCAGCAGATGGAAGTCAAGGACACTGACCCGTTTGACACTGCCTTGAACGTGCTTCACAATCCTCATGTAGCAATGGAGCAGGAGAACTGTCTGGCTGAGAATAGCAAGGGCTACTCCTAGACTTGCATAGTTAGAGCTGTTGTTACTGGTGGCATTTTTAGACTCTTGCTGGATCAGTTGCCAGGTTTCCAGCCCTGGTGGGACCAAGGCAAGGAGAAGAGCAAATATCCAGGTCAAACATATCATCCAAGTAGTATGCTTCCTCTGATAAACAGCCTGGTATACGATGTGTGGTTTGGTAATGAGCACGTAGCGGTTGAGGGCCACCAAGAGGTGGGAAAGTAATGAAACAAACAGCCCAAGAGCAACAAGACTAATCTGGAATAAGCGGTAACTTCCTGAATGAGCTGTAGGAGAACCAGAAGGCAGCAATCCCTGCGTTGCTTCTTGTGGCATCCAAAAACCACACACACTGAGGTCAGCGATACAACCATTCACAATGAAAGCATTGCTGGTGATACGCAGCTTTCTGGAAGTGAAGACCATATAAATAACCATGAAGTTGGATAAAGTTCCAGAGATAGCCAACAACAAATAAAGCAAAGACAAAGGCAGCCTAGTCCCTAGGGAGTCTTCACGACAAAGGAACAGTTGTAGGGGTCTGGAGCTCCAGGAAGAAGAGAAGGAAGAAGTGTTGGCCATCTTCTTGCACACAAGTTAAACTTTCTCGAATCTCCAAACAAACATATTCCCTGCTTGGTTCTAGAAGTGATAAAAGCCTTTCAGAAATTAAGACACGTCTACAGGACTACACACAACGGACAGCCGAAGATAAATTGTTGGAAAAGTCGAAGGCATCCCCAAGAATGCAGAAAATATCTAAGAGAATCAGATAAACTGGATCCCACAGAAATCCGTAAAACTCCCCGATCATTCCAGATTCAGTGTCTGCTATAAGCAAAAATTTTTTTAAAAAGCATAGATGGGATTCAGAAAATAAAGTGAGGAAGATGCAATGTTGTTTGAAGTTGCGATGAGATCCCGAAAGGTGTGTGTGAAGCGTGGCAGTTGTGAATAAGCAAAACATTTAAAAAAAAAAAAATCTAGAGCAAAAAGTAATTCAACCATATAGATCCCCTTCTAATGCCCAGGATTCTCATTCTAAGGTAGCAATGAGTATCCTAAGACAGGAAAATGAGGAGCATTCCTCAAAGAAGGAAAAGGAATACCAGAAATCCTAGGAAGTGTCTTAGCAGTGCATCTGAAGATGTGGCGCGTTCTCTTGAGCTTCTCAAAATGCTTGCTGCATCTATCAGCACTATACTGTGACGCTTCTGCATCTGATCTTTATGAATTATTCAGAGATTATAGGAGGGAGAAGGGGAGGGAGAAGAAAACCCAACTTGCTGTGAAAAGGCAGCTATTGCAGAAATGGATATTTCTCCCGTCCCTCCACCCACTGTGGTTCCTGAGTCACCTTTTGTTTGAGATGGTACTTCTGTTCCCTGCTCTTCTAGCCTTCTCTTACCACTGATGTTCATCCCAAGCTGGACAGAAACTCCTGCTTACACATATTCTTCTCAACTCCAGGTTTGCGTTACGGTGAGAAAAGTTTCGATGCTTCTACTATTTTCAAAATATATGACCTAATTTTATCTTAATTGCAATATTCAAACCTTCCCTTAATTACATACTTTCTGCTCCTTGGCAACAAGAATTGTTACATTACTGAGCTGGCTTTCTAATATAATCCCATCTATGTTAGGTAAAGTTGTAAAATTAATATGTTACCCAACCGTTCAAACTTCGATGTTTGAAATTTTGTGCAATGTGTTAATTTGCACAAAAATACCTGCCATTTTGATCCCAATTTTAAAACCTCTCTGGAAATGAAACAAACAGAAACTACAAATAGAGAAACGAGTAACTGAGATGGACCAATATATCTTCCACTTGCAGCTGTCCTAAACTTTCTTGCAGCCTGTTTCATCATTTTCAAGAAAAATAAAAATAAAAATAAGGAAAGAAAGTAACTGTAGTGAAAAACTGGTTGACAGTAGTACTAGATAGGGGTGAAGGGTCTAACTCAGAGGTGGGGAACTAAGGGCACTTTATGACCTGTGGACTTCAACTCCCAGAATTCCTGAGCCAGCCATGGTGGCTCAGGAATTCTGGGAGTTGAAGTCCACAAGTCATAAAAGGGCAATAGCTCCTCACCCCTGGTCTAACTGGAAATGAGACCTTCTCTAGATGAACTCAGGTTTTGGACAACAGTTGAAACTGCTACTATCGTACTACCGTCCCTGCTGCATAGCATCTTTCCTGATGGAACTTCTGGATTCCATTACTGGATTGGTGGTGGACTCCACGAGGATAGTAGCTCTCAGGGATTTTAATATGCCTCCAAGGAATGTTGAGTCCATAGCAGTTTAGGGCTCATGGCCACCCTGGCAATCATGCATCTGTTCCAAATAATCAAAGGCTTGACATATACCAGGAGTTGCACTCTAAATCTATTTTTTTTCTACACAGCAGATATGATGTGTCATTGAAGACTATTACCATTAGTCCATTCCTGTGGACAGAACTCTTCCAACCTGATGTCACCAACCCTCTGGAGAAGGCAGGGCATGCTAGATTGGTCCATCCCAGACAACTGAAAGACCAATTTGGATTCTCGATGGAGCTTGGGATTTCCCTGAGGATCTGGTGAGCAATTTGGTGCTGCCTTGGCTGTAGCCTGGAATAGAGATGGGAGAGGCCTTGGACTACAGGTGGTCTTTGTTTAATGACCATTCAGTGATCATTCAAACTTATGATGACATTGAACCAGTTATGACTCCTCCCTTGTACTTATGGATGTTATAACATCCCCATGGTCATGTGATTGTGATTTGTGACTTTCCCTGCCATTGCTAACCAGTTGTGGGTTTTTTTTTGACATAACCATATTGCTTAATGACAAGAGTTTCTGGTCACGATTATCATTAAGCAAGGACTATCTGTACAATATTCCTATGTGGCCTCCCATGGAACAGCAATTCTGGAACAGCATCCCCCTGGAGATATGCACACTCACATTCTTCAAGTCTTTGAAAAGTTGATTTTGCTCCTAGACCTGGGGTTAGGTTGTTGTTGAATGCCTGATGATTTTTTGTAATGTAATGAGTGATTTTGTCCAGGCATTACGTGTTCTTTTCTCTTTTAATTTAATGATTTATTTCCTTTGTAACTACATAGAAACATAGTGGTCCATTAAGTCTGTCCTTTTGAGTTTGTTTTTTGTTTTCTTTTTAATTATTTTCTTTTTAAGTATTATTTTATTTATTTTGATTTAAATTTTTAATTTTCGTCAGATGATGGGCATGTTTTTATTCCAAGTATGTTTACATGCAATTACTGATGATTGATCCACTACCTCCACTGGAAGTTGGTTCCAAGTTTCCACTACTCTTTCTGTGAATACTTTCTAACATTATTTTGCACTTCTCTCTGGTCAGTTTGAGGTTATCCCCCTTGTTCTCGATTTTTGCTTTAATATCTTGATTTTTGCTTAATAGCATAATTCATAAATTGCCTAGAGTCACTGGAAGTTGGACAGCTTTCTAAACTAAATAAACAATCATAAATATGAAATAACACATGCCACTTTGAGTTCCTAAACAAAAAATTGTATATAAAACTAATAAATAATATTTCCATTGTCACTATTACTGATCCTAGCATAGGACAGAAATAAAGGAACTTTTTTTTTTAATCCAGGTATTAAGTATTGCAGACAGCAAATTATTAATTTGGGATGGCAGTATAGACATAACTTTACAGAAATAATTAGATAAAGATTTTAAATGCTACTTTAATCTTACCCAATTTTTTAAAAATGATTTCATAGGAACTCAATTTACAAATTGCTGTGTAGAGAATGGCAACAACATATTTGAAGAACAGGAAAGAAGTAAATTTTTATTACTCTGATATAAAAATAAACATTAATAGTTCCAAATGTTTTATAAGAAAGTGGTAATAATTGCATTTCATGAGAAAATATAAAATGGATCCTTTAAATAAAAATACAAATAGCACACTTCAGAGAATATGACCACACTGAAATAAGAAAGCATAGTTAATATTGCTTACCAATTAAATCATTTAAATTTTTTTGAAACTAAATTTTATATTGAAATATAGATTACAATTGATTTCCCTCTATAATCTGCATTCCTTTCAACATTTCTTCCAATTGAAAGAACCACTTTGTATGCTTTGCTTATCCACTGTAATGCTGTTCTCTATAAGGAAACATATTCGAAATGCTCAGTTATTCCTAGTATAGATACAAAAATTACAGAAGAGACCAAGAAGGGCCATGGTTCAAGCATGTCAATAATGAGACAACAAATTGCTGGTATTAACAATAGTATTGTATTTCATAATATCTGTTTCAAATAAAGAATAAACCTATGCATAATTTTGACATTCATTAGCATTTATATTTCTACATTGGAAAAATAATACATCTGTCTCATAAGTAGTCTAATAACAAAATACATCTCAAATTTTAGAGGTAGAAATTACCTTAGATTTTGCCTATTACTCACTCATATATATAGTACATTTGATGTACATTTGATAAAATATTGCATTCAGTAATTAAAGCAGCTGATAACAAATACAAAACATCAAAAATGTAGCCATCATAATTGGAACTATTTCCCTCGCCTATTTAAATACCCAAGCCTTGCTAATTGATATAAAATTATCTATCAACCTTCGATCTCCCCCCTTGACATGATTCATCAAATTAGCAAACTTCCAGTTAACTGGAATTGTGCATTTTGTTCCAACTTGGAAGCCGAAATTGCCAGATTAAGAACAAACCATAATAATAAACTTAAGACTATATTTGATCATACTAAGCTATTCTAAAGGAATGAATGATAGTTTAGTTTTTTAGATTAAATCAGAGCATTTTGACTAACCACAAGGATCTGTGGTTTTTATTGTTTGTGCAAGGAAGGAAAGACTGAAATGGTTGCATAACATGCATTAAAAGAAAGTATTCTTTCCTTGGTAACCATTAATAGGGGAGCTTTCTTTTGATCATAATACAAATGGTATGTGAATGTTACCAATTAGTGCATCCAGCATGGCACTAAATTAGTACTACAGACCCAACACAAAGCAGGTTCAAAAATAATTGTGAATAGAGGCAGAGGAGGTTTTACTTCAATTTTCATTATATTTTGCTGTTTAGACCTCAAGGTCACTTAGCCAGTGACATGGTAAGATCATTAGAACTAATAAAATCCACGTTTGTCCTTAGAAGGAAACTAAGGAACAAGACAGAAGTGCTACACCTTACAAAAGCTTGAAGGACATATTCTGTTCCTTATTTCTCAAACTGACAGCCCCGCCCAGAAAAATTAAGTAGTTGAAAATTGGCATTTTACTCTCAAAGTGGGGGTGTTCTTGGGGAACAAAAATGGGACCGGGGAATATTTGCAGCTCATGGTCCACTCTCCTCTGCTTTCAGATGAACTGGGAACTAAATGTTCAAGATTATATTAGCCACTAGCTACACAGCATTTGCAAATAATAATATGGATAGTTATGATTGAATGTATAAAAATAGTGGAAAATAGGAGTTATATTCGTTCTTGCAATCTGTAATTAAAATGTGAGTAAAAGACTTCCTGTCTCTTGGTCTCTGTTTATAATAAAAAGAAATGTCATCTGTCTTATTTCATTGAATAACCCAATGAAAATCAGATAACATTGTTGTCTTACAAATTCAATCAGTATATTAGATCTTCCCTGCTATGACAACCTTTTTACTCATGTTCTAATATTATACAACTTGTAGGCAAGGCTATACAGAAAGGAAAACACAGAAAACCCTTTGACATACAAATTATAGAGCACAATTGTTAAGAGATACAGACTTAATTAAAATTAGTTTCTCTTTGTAATTAAAGATGCTAGGGCAAGTCTATTTCACAGACTTCCTTAAGACCTTTAAAATATGAACATTTCAAACATCAGCATCTGAAATTAAAAATGGTACAACAAATATAATTTTTCCACTAGTAAAATTCTAAAAACCGAACAACAATGATAGACAGATACAATAAAGACAACAAGTAGCAGGATCGGTATGGCCAAGATCAAGAGATGTTCAATTTTGTTTCCAAATCTGCAGACATAATTGAGCAGTCCTTGGGGTTTCTGGAGTCATAACTCACGAGGTTGTAGTACTAGCAGCCATGTTCCCCCAGTATGTCTGCAGATGGACGTGTTTCTCTGGATCTTGGCTCATGTTTGAAGTATAAAACAATATTTGAAAAATACACATTTTTGGTAAAAAAAATCCACCCTGAATTCTAAATCAAAATATACTATATTTTTATACAATATACATGTTTTTGTGTACACGTGGACACATGACACCTTTTATTCGATACATATACATTATAATACTGAACCCAGAATCATCCTTATAAACTATTGCTACAATTCATTACAAGTATTCTCAATATTAAAATCTTGATCTGTACACAAAATTGTAATATTCAGAAGTTCAATTACGACACATTTGTAGTAGTCACTACTGAAATCCCTGATTATGCAAAGATTTGGGGTTTAGGTTCTAATCATGTGTGAAGAAGTATTTCTCCAGTGAAGTGTCTCCTTCAACATTCTTCCTCTTTGAAGAAAAATGATTTTTAAGAGATGTCCAGCTTTCACCGAAGCAGTAAGGCTTTAGTACTGAACATATTCAGACTGAAGGGACTGTGTAGGTAAAAACAAAAGCTGGTATTAAGATGCAGTTAGAAGTACTTCAATTTCAACCATATGAACATTTTTTTTAAAGAAATGAAACCTTTGCTGCACAAACAAAAAAAAACAGCTTTAGAGGATTTAACACACATATCTTCCAAATGTACTCCTCTTATATCATAAAAAAACACACGAAGGGCCCAAAAGCTGTAAAACGCTAACCTGAAGCTAACTCAAACCTCAGTTTAAAACTGTAGCTACAATATTACATTATTCTGTGTTTCATTCTTTTGTAAGGCCTTTTCCCCTTCCTATTAGAGGTAAGCCTGGAGAGTGATGTGATCGTCTCTTAAGAGAGCAGAAACAACAGTAAAAGCTGAAGAGAAGGACATCTTGGCTCATGATCTTTCCATTAAGAAATTTATTTCTTAACAGAATTAACAGTTCCTGTTCATTTTACCTCCAGGTTTAGAAAACAAACTACAACTGTTGGGAAGTATTATAATACGCTCTTTTTCTGTGTTATGAAAATTCAAATAAAAATATATGGAAAAGAACAGAACATTTGGGTAACCTTATAAAAACTATTCTTTTAAGGCGATAAGATAATTCTTGCACAGAAACTGGACATTCAATAGTTCTCTATATTTTGTCTTAATTAAGAACATTCTAGATGCCTTTCCTTTCAAATGCTTTAAAACAAAGGGCACAGTCATAATTACCTCTAAAATTCACTTCTGTACAGAAAATCTGCTTATTGTATCTTAATTACATTCATTTCAGCTTCAATAAGGAACACATTCAGTTTCATTTTGTTCAAATAGGGATCAAGCAGGAGTATATTTTAATAATTAATGAGAGAAGAAAGAGGAGGGAGAAATAAAAATGAATATATAGTTAATGTAAGCAACAATAAGAGCGACAGGCAGAAAATTAGTAGATTTAAAGCTTGCCATGAAATCTAATTTCTAATAATTTGTGCTTCTTTCTGCTGATATCTGTAATAGATATTGGTTGGTTCAACTGCTGATACTTTGTCTACAAAGAGAAAGTAAATTTCATCTTACTTTTGTCTCTCTAATAGTTGTGTGACATGGAATCTATCTGATTTCCGTATTTTTCAAGATATCTACCTGATAATAACTTCCAGTAAAGACAACTGGACTTATTTCCAGTTAAAGAAGCTGGAAGAAACTCCTCCCCTCATATACCAGCAAATAATAGATTTCACTAGATTGCCTAGGTCAGGGGTCTCCAACCTTGGCAACTTTAAGCCTGGAGGACTTCAACTCCCAGAATTCCCCAGCCAGCAAAACTAGGTGATCTTACAAAGCCAGCGCATATGCAAAAAATAGCACGCAAATTAGTACAGTTGTATAACAGAATTAGCTCAATGAAGTAAAATTTCAGTTGTGAATACTCAAGTATATTTCATCAGTGTTGCCTAATTATTTAAGCTGAGAAGACACACTCATTAGTCAAAAGTAAATTTTTGAATTAAGTTTTGAGAAATAAATCCGGTACAATCAAGCTCATAGGGCTGGTTTTAAAATGCATGTCCTGTATATTCAGCAACATTAGGAAACATCCTTGTGTGAACACAATATGTCTACCTATTTTATACAGGAACAGCAGAGATTTTAAAAATCAGAAAAGAGCATAGATAATAGGGAATATGCTTCCTGGCAGGATTTCCAGTCTACTTTTTCTGGGTTTTTTCATCCATGTGAAAAGAAATGCCAATTATCACATACTTATTATCTACATCTATTATTCAAATCCCCACTTTCTATTCCACTGAGGCTGCTAAAGCTTTCTCTTTAAGTATGTCACATATATTACTATTCTTTTTTTTAATTTTATTTTCAAGATAGAAATTTTATGGATAATTTTTTTTTGCGAGTTTAGAAGTTATGAAGTTTAGAAGTTATGAGAAGTTTAGAAGTTATGAGGAAAGGTACCTATTTTCAGGATTATAACCTGAGAAAACAGCACCATACTACATGTAAATATGTACATTTATGTATACTGAACAACTGAGGAGTAGTTTAAATATCAATTTTATTGCATCATTCATTGTCTAAGGTAGAATGTTTTGTTCTATCTTGTTCTCCTATGATTAAATGTTCTGTTCTATCTTGTTCCATTATGAAATATAAAAGGCTGTCCTTATCTTCTTCAGACCAATAAGAGCAATAATAATAATAATAATCAACTTCAATATATTTTTTTCAGAAATATTTTTATGGACTTCAAGTTTTACTTTGATGAAGAGAGTACAAAGTTGACGGACTTCAAATTTGGTTGTGACTTTTTGTAACAACTCTTTTTTAATTGAATCCATACTGGTATTTTCAAATGTTGACAAAATTGGCACGTATGGTTAAATTCACTCTTTTCAATTTTCCTGCTAATATTTATAAACCTAAATTTGATTTTCTACTACAACTACACAATGCCAGGTATGCATTTTAATTTATATAAAGTGACATGTCTCCATTTATTATCTATGTATGCCATGTTACATTTATTAAAACAAAATATTATATATTTTGATATTTCCAGCTATATAAATATATCGCTTCTCAGCAAACTCAGCAGCAAATGTACCATTTATGGCCAGCATCTATGTCTTTCAACATCCTTTTGCTCAGGAAAGCAGGTAAAGATAATTTCAGTCAACAGATATTGTCTCACACTTCTCTCAAATCCATGATGGATTTATACAATCCCATTTCTTATTGGCAGCTACTTAGACGGACGGAACTTAATGACATTGAAGAATAAAGTTACCATCATCCTTTAGAGTAGAAATAAGTATCTAATTCTCTGAAACTATGAATACTGTGAAGTCCAAGCTAGATGTTTTTGGTTAGACAAATATTGGTCTGATCCACTTCAGTTTCACAAGGAACCACTGCAATGTCTCATCTCTTATATTTATGTTTGAATATATTTTCTCTTTATATTGCTCTAACTTTTCAAACATTCAGGATGTTTCCTGAATTTCTCTTACTGTGTAATATTCTAACAAAATAACTGTGATCTAAGTTATGGGGGACTTTCTATTTTTTAACATGCTCTTATCTCCCGAAAACAACTGACGTTTTAGTACTGTGCTGAAGACATGTATTATGAACGATATGTTCCATCTCTTTAAGCTCTCTGAGCAGAAAGATATAAATAAGGACAAAACTGGTCACATGGTGCCTCCTGGTGGTCAAGGCAACTGAGAACACCACATAGGATACACACTGTGTAAAAGTAGACAAATTCTCCCTCCCTCCAAGAAAGGTTACGTCATGTAAAATCCCACACTTGGGGTCATGACATAATGTAACATATATATTGCTCTGCTCTAAGAGCTTAAGGGTAGATAGATTATATGTATACCATTTGGATAGTTTCTGAGTATTCCTTCTTATAACCATTGAATTGCAGGGCCTGGATAGCTACTAAAGCTAAAACAATGCATGAAGTCATCCGATGGGCAAAGATCCACAAGTTCAATTCCCAGCAGAGGATTTGAATCCCAAAGAATAAACATCTGGCTACCCACATCTGAAGCATCCCAGTAAGGATGACAACGATCGCATGTAACTAATTATAAAAATAAGTTCTCAGGTGTGGAAAATATACTTGTTTTTTTTATTGTTGTTTTTAGTAGCACCTGGAACAAACTTATTTTAAAGTAAATCCTGAGATTAGTTTAGTTTCAAATTTGTGTAATATATTATTTTGTCAGAAAAAATATTTGCAAGAATTCTTTTTAAAACAAAGTAACGTTATTTCCCAGATATTCTCAACAAAAACATCTCATACTGACAATAAAAGGCCTTAGTTCTTTTATTTTTAATATTTCCATGCTATATTCAACAGCTGATGTAAGAGATAAATCTTACAAGTTCAAAAAGGTAAACAACAGCTAAAATTTGGAATGCTACAATTTCTTACTGTTGCAACAAAGGCTTTTCTATGTCCTATGCAGAGGAGATAATAGTCCTTGCACAAATGGCTTAAACAGTATCTTAGGACACCAGTTTTTTGGTATTTCCCCCCCAAAAGTTATGTAAAATGGTGATGGTACTTATGTAAAATGGTCAGAGGTACTTATTTATCCATTTAATTTCATTCACACAGAGGAAATATATATATAGTAAACAAGAACGTGTAAACACAAGAACAAGAAAAAATTTAGAGTAGACTGAGAACCAATACTGATTCCCCCCCCCTCACTTTTTTGTCTATTATTTTACAGGTAATCCTCACCTCATGGTAGTAATTTGGACTGGAATTTCATCACTAAGCGATGCAGTCATGAAGTGGAGTGTCTTGAGACACCTATAGGTGATGGCACCTATGGTAGTTCTCACTGCTGTTAAATAAAAACAGGACCTCATGTGATTGTGACTTGTGACTTCCTGCCAGCTTCCCACAAGCAGAGTCACTGGGGAAGCTTGCTGGAAGTCTTGAGTCCTGAGTGGCTTGCAAAGAACCCAGTGGGCAGATGCATAGTATGGAATGAGGTGAGGAATTGCAGCAATGAGTACATGTAGGTTTGGTGGGGGTTGCTGCAGCACTGTGCGAGTGTGTGTGGGCTAGGGAGGAGATGCTGCAGTACAAGTGCACAATGGAGTACGAGATCTCTGGGATCTCACATTCTGTAAGCGGCTCCCCAGGATAAGAGGCAGCAGGAGCAACTTTCAACCTTCCCTGCAGGCTTCCCCAGTGATTTTGCTTATGGGAAACCAGAAGTGAAGGTTACAAATGGTGATCGCAGGACAGCGGGATGCTGCAACCATCATATAATCCGGTTGCCAAATGCCTGTTTTGCAACCCTGGACTATAGGGATGGTATAATAGCTGGAACTTCGAATGTTGACGACTGATTATAAGTACAACTTGTTCACCATTGTCACGACTTAGAACGGTCACTGAATGAGTGGTTATCAACAAAAAACTACCTATATAAATATATCTGATTCTTCTAACTTAGACAATTCAAAATCCTATTGAATCTCTCCATGCTCTTTGTATGTATCTTAAAAAATGTTAAAAAAAGCCTTGTACTGATATGAACATCTGACACTTTCAGCGTTTTATGACATTGAATTAAAATGGATATAAAAAGATAGGTGCACTCACGGAAGACATTACAAAAATTAGAGCGTGAAACAATTATCTTTTTTCCCCAAAGTGGCAAAGAAACCACAACAAAAAGGAGCTGACTGGTTTTGGTTGAGATAATAAGATACTACTTGCGCAAGAAGAAGAGATCATAAAAGGAGAAAAAGACCAGAAAGGAAGGTCTAAGAATTGTTAGAAACTTTGGAGAAAGCTTTGGTTGAAGGGAAGGTCTCTGAAAGGGCTGCTGAACTGTGAACTTACAGGAATTGATCGACTCAGGTATCTTGCTGAAGAAGCAGCGAGCCCCGTAAAAGATCTGAAGGTGTTGTACTCCTCTGCCAGGACGTTGGGAGAATTGACATAGTTGTTGAGGTTGGTAGTGCTATTGCCTCTCCTGTTGTACAGGTTGTTGTTCAGCTCATGATAATTTCCGGCAGGCAACAGTGCACTGCCATTCAAATGACTGGAGAGTTGGCTTACAGAATAACCTGTCCTAGAGGATGATAATGTCAGTTTGCTCTCAGCATCATCTGAAGCAGCATGCAGGTTCCCTAGAGAACTGGCTAACCTGGAGTTTATGGAAAAGCTGAATGGAAAACACATGTGGGGTAAAAAGACACACAAAATGTACGCACAGGTGATGTTCAATGTAAAACATGCTTTAAAAGGCACTTGGAGGGGAAAAAAATCACTTTCTCAATATTAAATGGTGGCAACATACATCTTAATTCTTTCGGTAAATTATGAGGAAACCATTGGGAACATTCTAGGATAAAGAACAGTTGCAAAATAATTGCAGTGCTTTGAAGAAATACATAGATGTAATCTCCAGTGATGCTGAAACTTTATGCAATATTTTTCTTGTTGATTATTTCTAACATTTAAAGGGGGTTTCCTTTTGGTTTCTATAAGCTGGCATAGGCCATTATGGGAGAAATTATTTTGAAAAACATGCATGTAGCTCTTTTAAGATGAAATCAATGGGATGATATGAAATGTAATTTTATTAGTGCTCATAGCCACTTATTCCCATAGTCAAACTAAGGTATCAGAAGCAAGTATTTAAAGTTACATCAAAGACATTCAGAATATCTTAGATTTCTTACATAAGAAACCCCAACTGCAAATGAAAAATATAGTATTTGTTCCTATACTCCCTCTTCCCAAAAGATAAAAGACATAGCAGAGTAAAAAAATACCTTTTAAAATTTGGAACGGAGGATGGAGCATGTCTATTTATTCTCTTTGCTGTGGGGGATGCCGAAACCATAACTTTGGTGGCTTTCAAAGGAGATACGGACCCTTGAGAGAGAGCTGCTGTATTCAATCTGAAAGTACACCAATAGGAAGCAAAAGTATGTTCATATGATTGGTAGAATCTTCACTTTTCTATCCTTCATTTAGTTTTCATACCAGGACCTCTGAATATAAATCTTTACCTAAATAAATAATATTAAAACATCCTCAGGGTTTGCATGTGATGAATTATGTCTTCTACAACCGGGATCTCAGGATGCCTGGACACAATAAAACCTTATGGAGGAACAGGAAAATATTCTATTCTATGAGCACAGTACTATGTGTGAATCAGAACATTGTGCTAAATGATCTCCCATCCTTTGGGTACTTTTCAGAGGTTGTGTTTGGTCTTGAACTGCAAATAAAATTTTAACGTAATTCAGGAGTGTCTCTAAAGAAGAATATGACTGAAAAAGTCTTTCATATTTGAAGAAAACTACATATGAACCTTTAGATAGAAATTTCAAGCAGTGAACAAGCTCCCTCCCTCCCTCCCTCTCTGTCTCCCTCACAATGTTTAGTTTTTAAATTGCTGCCAATAGTTTTCAGGAAAAGAGCTCTAAGGGGCTGCAGGTAAATGACAGACAATACAAATCTACTTCCTCTGAAGCACTTTTTTGGAACTGAATCCAAAGTCCCATACATCTTCAACAGGTAACTTGCTCCATGGACATGTATCAGTGCTACTATACTGTGATACACGAATCAGGCTTTAATGAGATAGTTCAATTTGCTTTAAATATTAGTATGGTTATATCTATGAAGAATTACATATCTAGCCATGAAGCCGAATGTTAAACAGCTTTCCAAAATTTAATCTTTGCCCACTGAAGTCTCAAAGAACAACAGACAATAGACATGTCTATCCTTGTGTGCTATACGTGTATGGACCTCGTTTATCCACAAGGAAGGTTGCATGGGATCTTGGATGTCAATGTTTGCTATTTCACAACCTTATTATTAAATGAACTCCAAAACCAGCTTTAGAGCTTTAACATGGAGAACAGCTTTTACATTCAATCACAGCACTATTACTTTTTAGTAATATTTGTAATTACTAGTACAACAGCAAAAATTCAGAAGGCTTCCATAAATGAAATTGCTTCTTTCTGCTCGGTGGCAAAGACACTGAGCTTGTCGATCAGAAACGTCGGCAGTTCAGAAGTTCGAATCCCTAGTACAGGTTTCCTGCATGAGCAGGGGGTTGGGCTAGATGACCTCCAAGATCCCTTCCAACTCTGGTGCTCTGGTGGCTCAGCAGACTAAAGCACTGTTATTAACATCCACTTACATCTGCTGCCTGCAATTACTGCAAGTTCAAATCTCACCAGGCTCAAGGTTGACTCAGCCTTCCATCCTTTCTAAGGTAGGTAAAATGAGGACCCAGATTATGGGGGCAATAAGATGACTTTGTATAACTATACAAAAGTATGAAGGCTATTGCTTAATGCATTGTAAGCCGCCCTGAGTCTCCGAAGAAGGGCGGCATATAAATCAAATTAAAAAAAAAAACCTCTGTTACTGTTACTGTAAACAATCCAAACAAATACCTGAAAGGCTGGGATATGGATCTGACATGTGTTTTCATATCTTCTAACCTAAAAAGACAATAATATTTTTACATAAAAAGTATCAAACTAAAAAAGATATATATTACTGAATTTATATAGCCAACATTTACTCTTCCAACGATCCAATATATTAAATTAAACACATATCCCACATATTCAGAAAAGCAGTCAAGCAAGCAAGCAAGCAGGCAGGCAAATAAGTAAGTAAATATATCAATAAATATATCAATAAACAACAAATACATAAATACTGGAGTGTCGCTCAGATCCTCCTGTCCGAATCTAGCAGATGTCTTCCTTAAAAGGAAATTATTTCTACCATGATCTGCTTCAATGATCCTGACATGAAGAAAGTCATACATGCAACTGAATGACAATTCCCATCATCCCACACTCTTATTTTGCTGGCTAGTACAGTAGCGATGTCAGAGTTCAACACATTACCCATTTCTAGGATATGTGACAGGAGTAACAAGTCAATAGTACAGCACACAAGGTTTTTATGGACAGGTTCAACCACTAGCACCTTCACATAAACAAAATGAGGGACATATTGCAGATTGTGGCTAAGAGTTAAGAATGGTATAAAGAATGGTTGCTGGGATTGGGCATGTCTAGTTTAATGAAAAGAAGGACTAGGGGTGACATGATAGCAGTGTTCCAGTAGCTCAGGGATTGCCACAAAGGAGACGGAGTCAAGCTATTCTCCAAAGCACCTGAAAGCAGGACAAGAAACAATGGATGGAAACTAATCAAGGAGAGAAAGCAACCTGGAATTTTATTAGAGAAATTCTAATAATATTAGAACATATTAGGAGAATATGTTCTCCTAATAGGAGAAATATTAGGGCAGAATCATTCAAGACTGAATAGCTTACCTAAGAGCTCCTGTTGTAGCTGAACGTGGCTGCCTCTGAAGTTTTAAGGCACGAAGTTGATCTCCCTGGGTCATGTCATTCTTAGCTTCTGAATCTTCTTCCAAATCATTCTGGAAAACAAAAATAATTTATTTAAAAGAAACATTTTGAGAACAAATCTATGACACAGGAATCACTATAGGTTTTTCTTCTCTCTCTCCTTATTTTGACTCCTGATAACTTACCAATAGCATTTATCACTTTGAAAATGTTTTAAGCAAAAAAGGGATAATACAACAAAAGCAAACTTAACTGTGAATGCATACATAACATACTGAAGGAAAGTTGTTGGAAAGGGAATATAGGTAGTCCTCGACTTACAACAGTTCATTTAGTGACCCTTCAAAGTTACAATGGCACTAAAAAAAGGACTTATGACCGTTTTTCAGTTACCACCTTTACAACATCCCCATGATCATGTGATCAAAATTCAGATGCTTGGCAACAGGTTCATACTTATGACCGCTGCTGTGCCACAAAAGGTCATGTGATCCCCTTTTGCGACCTTCTGACAAGCAAAGTCAATGGGGAAGCCAGATTCACTTAACAACCGTGTCACCAACTTATCAACTGCAGTGATTCACTTAACAACTGTGGCCAAAAAAAAAAGTCGTAAAAGGAGGAACAACTCACTTAACAAATGTTTCACTTAACAATAGAAATTTTAGACTCAATTGTTTTCCTAAGTCATGATCTACCTGTACTTTAATAATAAAAGTACTGCACATTGACGCAGCGGGGAGTTTAACTTGTCCCAGGTTCCCATATGGATGACGGTGAAAAATCACAATATAGTGTGAGCATATACATGCTTTCGTTCTTCTAACAAGTTGGCCAGGTCTGTATAATTAAAGTGGTGACTACAAGTGGGGGAAAAACCAACTGCAAATCCACAGCTGATCACAAAAGAGTTCTGGGTGACTATGGCTCAATCACTTTTTCTTAATCCAAGCTACCCCACTGTTTGCATGCCATCTTAAACTTGCAGAGAAATGGTGGGGTATAAATATAAAATAAATTTACTAAATAATCACACCTTTCCACACCTTGACACATGAGGACATTTTTACCTTCTACCTCCTCATCTTGCTCCTTGGAGTGAAACTTTTGGCTTAAATTAAATTAAAGTTATATTAGGTCAGAACCAGAAATCAAATTACAAAGGAGGAAAATAAGTCATGATTGATGCGATGAATCTAATTAATTTTCTTAGGAAACATAATCATTAAAACACTTATTTTAAACGGTAGTTTTGGCAAAGGGCTATTGAACCCATCATATCTGCATAGGATTCCACTGCATTCCGTCTTGGCCCTAATCCTTACTTGGCTCAGCCTTGCAATTTGCAATATTTCAATAATCATACTGAACTCTTTTACTATAAGGTTTACAACACAAGTATACTGTATATGTCAAACATTTTGAATGTATTATGCTGCTGTGATAAACTTCAAATATTTTATTTCTGAAATTATTGACATATTCTTCAAGTGTGGTTGGAAACTTTACCTCTATATATTTATCCAAATTTTCAATTCTAGTTGAAGTTCCAGTGATAGAAATGTCATCGAAGCCCGATAAAACTTTGCTCAAACTATCTTCATCTACTTCTTTTGTTTTCTGTTTAGTTCGGAATATGTCTCCTTGGACCCACAATATTGGCTGTTTTCTGTTCAATAGAACCAAAAATAAAATCAGTACCAGTGGCATTGTACTGTAGAAAATGAGGTATGGCTTTCTTTTAAAATATGTGCCTTTCAAATCTTTAAATCTGTACAATCTCACACAATTATTGGATGATCTAGTTAGACTTTGGCCCTTATAATTAAAATATTTATTGCTAGAGCAGAATATTGGTAGCTCATTGGCTTGTCGATCAGAAGGATGGCAGTTTGAGACCCAAGTACTTCGTTACAAGATAAGCTCCTGTTCTTGCCCCAACTACTCCCAACCTAGCAATCTGAAAGCATTCAAATGTAAGTAGATAAATAGGTACCACTTTGATGGGAAGATAACAGCATTCTGTGCACTTTGGCATATAGTCATGCCAACCACATGATCATGGAAGCATCTTTGGACAATGATGACTCTCTTGGCTAGGAAATGGAGATAAGCACTGCTCCCTACAATCGGACATGACTGCAGGGCAAATCTTTACCGTTTTTTTTATTCTTATAGAATTAAATATATCAGTAATAACCCTTTAATTTTTGTCCTTCTCTTTTTATATGTATGTGCTAAATTTTGCTGCTCTTTCCCATCTATTTTATCTAACTGGATAATTAAACATGACAGCTGCAGAAATAGGCAGAAATAAACAGGGTCACCCATATATTTCAATTCAGACAAAAATTCCTGTTGGGAGATCAATGACTGTGGAATAGAATAGGATTAGAACACTGAAAACAGTATCCTTGTAAGGAAGCTAACATGGAGTATAATTAAATGAGGCAAGCCAGGCTAACTCCTAGAAAAATTTACTGAATGAGTATCATAAACACATAAATCAAGAAAAAAAAAAAGTCCTTGAATGAATCAGGGAAGTTTATGCTTGCTTAGAATGATTTTACCCATGCATTGGTGGATGGGGACACTTCTTTCAAAGTTAGGTTGGAGAGATTATTGTTAAACTGACTTCAAAGAACAGTAACATGGTTGTTAATCCAGAGCAATATCACCTAATGAGAAGCAGTATCACTGTTTTAATTGCAAAGTTTCGTATGTCTCAGTCCAATTTTTTAAAAAATCCCACTCTTCTTCCTTAATTATTCTTTAAAGCTCTTATGATAACTATCACCAATAACAAAACAAGGTGCCAAGGTACTGAATGTCAGAAAATTACAGAATTAAAGACATAGGCTTTGATTGAAATAGCATAGCAAGGAATGTAGAAACTTCAATACAAAAATCTAACCTATGGCAGAAAACAGTTTTGGATGACTAATCTGCAACACTTGCATAAAAGAAACAAACCCATCAATCTCAAATCAATAATGCCCCCAAATAATTATTTTTTTTACAATTTATCCTGCCTGCTCTTTACTGAAAGTTGTCTTCCTACTGTGATAACTGAGCTTTGCTATTCTAACCTCTGTTGGACTAAAAAGCGATTGCAAAATTGTCTGCCCTGCTCTCACCAAAAGCAGCTTGCCAATAGTTCTCTGGAGGAACAAGGCATCGATGGAATCCAGCACAGAGAACAGAGTGAAAAGTTTCAGGAAATCACAGATCATCATAGGTTCCCTGGCACAACCACCATGCAACAGTGTCCCCAAGTCCCATCTCTGGTCCTTTGTTGCCACAGACCGCTGGCACAAACCGCTGGCATAATGCTCTGAATTTGTCACAATGCTACAATGCTGGCTGGGGAATTCTGGGAGTTGAAGTTGACCTATCTTAAAGTTGCCACGGTCGAGGAACATTGGTCTATACTGTTCCAAACCATTTCAGGTTCATGTATGAAAAAAACAAGAAGTACAGATTGTTTCAATAATTATTTTGACGGTAGGGTTTTCATTACCCTGTTAAGTACGAAATAATAGGCAGTAACACTTGAATAGTTTTGAGGCATTCCACCCACTTCATGGTTCATTTTATATAATTCCTAGCGATTCACTCCAAATGTATTTCCAGGACATTACACAGAATAGCTGTAGCAATATAGGGCTACAGTATGGTATAAAATCAGAAATCCTCATGCAAATGTCTTGTGTGATGTATTTACAGCATCTATGTGCACCCAAGTCACACTGTGGGAAGGATCCTGTATTTTATTGACTCACTAAATCAATTTTTATCACTAAGACATAACAAGCAGATGTTCACTGCCACTGCCATAAATCCCATAGTGAAAACCAGATGGCTTGATCTGATCCATTCCAATTAGCACCACAGATAGGCAGCCTTGTTAATTATCACCTTTTCTACAACTTTAGCTACTTTTAGTAAAAGTGATGGATACATTTTCCCCCTCCTTTCTATCTCTCCGAAGGCAGATGAAAAACATTAGCTGACTTCAAACAAAAGCTGCATGGTTAAAAATGAACTTTAATTAGATTCTGATACTGTCTTTTCAGGATTAGATTGAGATACAGTTCACAAAAAAGCACAAAATATTGACAAGTAACTTGTTAAGATATGCTCAGGCAACAAAACCAAGAGAAGGAGCAAACATTTTCCAGATTTTTAACCCATTCCTGGAGTTACTTTAAAAAGGGCATTTTGAGACATGAGTAACACAATAAATTGAATAACATAAAACATTACAGCAGCAGTGTAACATTACACATACCTTCTCCAGTACTTGTTAAATGTTATAATAAGAACTCTATACCCAATTCAGTAGAGGGAGTTCCAAAAATGTTACCATGTTTTGTGGCCTTAATAAATATTTAGTAAGAGTAAAGAACACATTCTGGAGCATCCATTATATGATTAATGTAGTTCTCATACTTACTCTTCAAGGAAATGTTGTTGAGGTCCAATAATAGAACCTGGCCGACACATTCGTATCCAGGCAATGGCTTCAGAATGGGTGAATTTATAGTGTTTGATTATGTAACTAGCAATCAGTGTTCCTGTCCTTCCTAGACCAGCTACATTAATGAAAAAAAGACATAAACATTGAGTTTTAAGAGATCCACAATTCTGAATATTTGGCACGGGATAATGCCAAATATATTCTAAATATTTGTTTCTAGGTCCCAGGGTTTTACAAAACTCACAGCCAAACTAGATATGAAATACCATGTGTCTATTAAAGGAAAAATAACCTGCTATATTCTATACAGCTTGATTTATGAGAGTGAAAGTTTGTTCTCCAAGCTTGTGGATCAGTTTCCGAACATTACCAGGCTAGGTAACATCTTCAGCAGAGTTTAGGGTATGCCAGTGTCAGTGTTCTTCTGTTTATGCTTGATTTATGTTTATTTTAATCCCTGGACCATTTTCTATTCCTGACGTTGATAGTTTCTAAGTATAATGCTTTGTTTCTAGTGCTATACAATTTATCCACAACACTGATGTAACCATAGCTCTTGCTGATTTCATCAAATTGCCTCAAGTCGTTTTATCATGATCTTCTGAGGTATATCCATGCACAGAAGATACTTCCAAAATGAAGTAGGGATACTTCAAACATTCAATGCTTTGCCTTGATCCTCCAAGAAGTTGATTTGGAAAGGTACTTTAATTACTTCTCAGATTATCTTCTCAAGGCTTTGTGTAGCCCTATTTCCTACATGTGTAAAATCAAAAGCATTTGCAGAGCTAGATCTGTATGGATAGTTCTCAGGTTGCGACGGTTCATTGAGTGACCGTTCAAAATTATGATGGCACTGAATGAGGGGGATTTACAATGGGTTCTTGGAATTCCAGTCATTGTAGCATACCTGCAATCACATAATCATGATCTGAGTACTTATTGCCCAGCTAATGGCTACAATGTTGCAACAAGCAACAGATATGTACCGGTAATTGCGATTTCCAATTTTCCCTGCCAGCTTCCCACAAGCAATGGGGAAGCTGGCGGGTAATCAACAGTTGTGGTCACATGAGGTCCTCGTTTAACAACTCGAATGGCCCTCATTTAACAGTGGCACCCAGGATTGCTGGAATTAATATCACTATGTGACACAGTCACATGCTGTCACACTTTACAACAAGGTCACTTAATGGTCCTAATTGCTGTTGTAAACCAAAGACTACCATAATATTAGTATCTTCCTTTTAACGTGTGGGACAATTAATAGGGTAAAGATGTTGGAATATGAATTAAATATATTATATATCATTAACTAACAGAAATGGAGACAGGCCACACAGTCTGAGGTTGTTTTTAATAACAATCAGACAAAATGTCATGAAACATTTAAGCTCATTATTTTTAGTATGTTGACACTCTACGTCTTATTATTTTAAAACATGATTTCTTAGCATTTCAGCTTCCTCAGACATATAATCACGAAGGCAGGCAGATCCTTCTCGTCACTACTAGGTGAATGTGATTTCCTGACGGTATGTTTCTACCGTAATAGGGTCCTGCCCAATTGAACAATAATATCTAATAAGTCAATTTTGCTGACTTAGAAAGCTAAACAGGATTGTCCATGGTCAACATAGATGGTGGGTCATCTGGGAATCCAATAACGTCCTGGCAGGAAGCAACAACAACCACTTTTATAACATATCCATAAAACTACATGGATGTACCCGACCAGGAATTTAGTTGCTTTTCTCTTTTAATGGAGACTTGATGATCAGTGATGCAAAGAAACAAGCTTCCATGGAGCCAGCGTAATCTTCAGCTAACAAGCATTATAAGAATTGTCTGATGCTATAAACCCTTCCACAATTTTACATTAGCCCAGTGCTGACAAACTTCCTTTTTTGAAATGCCCTTTCTTAATCCTTGTGAGCCTTCAACAATAGAACCAGAAGCAATATGGTTATCAGATTATTTGCTCTTGTTCTAGAGAAACATAAATATTAAATTCACCAGAGACAGGTCAGGGAGACTACAAAAGAGGCTGTTTTCTAGATTAGCTAAGTGCCATCAAGTTGTTTTCGACTTCTAGCAACCACACAGATATATTTTCTCCATGATGATCTGTCCCTATTCCAGTCTTTCAGGTTTTCCCAAAAGCAATGGAAAAACTGAAAATGGATAAATTAATTAAATAAGACAGGCTAGTGAAAAAAAAAGAAAGAAGTGACACTGCTTCCTCTATATTTTCAGGCTTTCCAAGTAAAATCATTTTATTTAAATGATACGGAATAGAAGATTCGAGATGTTAAGGCACACAACACACAAACTATATAGAAGTTCATTACTACTCTTACACATGCATAAAAACTGAATCTTCTAAAGAATACTAAAGAGAAATATTTACAAAAAAAAGAGGCAACAGCATCACTCAGTGGAATAAAAATGGCTCTGCATAGGTAGGAAAAATCAATGCAACATTTTAGCTAAGGCAAGAGTTTTAAAATGTGTAATTTGGAGTAATTTATACAACTCAATATATATACATGTATACCTGGAACTCATATGTGCAAGTCTTGCTGTATTCGGGTCTTTTCCCGTGTAAGATTGAGATTATCTTGGCAACGTTTCGGCAGAATCTCATCTGCCATCATCAGGCCTGTGCAAGGGTTCTTTAACAAGAAGGGTTCTTTAAGGTTCTCAATCTTACACGGGAAAAGACCCGAATACACCAAGACTTGCATACCTGTACCCGTGAAAATCTACGAAAACAAATATATATATATATATACACATTGTTCCTAGAAGCACAAGGCCGAAGACACTAGCCTGAAGATGACGAATGAGACTTCGTCGAAACGTCGCCAAGGTACTTCCAATTTTACGCGGGAGAAAACCCGAATAAACAAAGACCTACATACAAATACCCGTGAAAACCTCAGAAAACACACACACAAACACACACACACATATATATTCTAATTCTAATTATTTTATTTTTATGTCGAACAGATTTAGTATTGCAATTCAGACTTACCTTTACAGTGTACAGCTATAGCGCCTTCTGCTTCCTCACAGATGTTCAAAAACTGTTGCAATATACTCTCACTCGGGGTGCTTCCATCAATGAAGAATAGGTCGTAGTGCTCAAATCCACCATCTGTGAAGCGTTTGGCTTCATAAATCTTTTTGTTGAGTCTTATGATAGTTGTTATGTTGTGCTTCCTAAAATATGGGAAATAGGCTTCGGGCGCATGAAGCGGATAACCTACAACAAGCAGAATGAGAATACTTGGATATTTCCATCTCATCTCCAAGTAGCTGAACCATTAAGAATACTGTATGATGAAAATAAACTATTTTAAAATAATATAAATATTGAGGGGTCCTGGTGCTCTCTTGAGCTTGGTTGGTTGTTTTCTTGCAGACATTTCCTTACCTAACTAGGTAACATCATGATGTTCTCTTCTATTGGTAATAAAAATATTGTTAGGCAAGTCTATTCAAAGTTGCAAAGCTGAACGCTTTAGTGTTATAACCAAAAAATATTAAGTAACAACATCACAGAACATTAAAGAGCTCCAGCTAAGATTCTGAGAAATCATTTCTTCTTGTTAGTTCTAAATCAGAAGAAAGCATTTTTTTGTGGAATCTTCATCATCATAAAAAACAGATCAATCAGAATAGAGCTGGAAGGGAGCTTGGAGGCCTTCTAATTCAACCTCCTGCTCAAGCAGGAGACCCTATAACCGTGATGGTGAACCTATGGCACACGTGCCACAGGTAGCACGCGGAGCCATATCTATGGGCACGTGAATGTTGTCCTAGCTCAGCTCCAGCATGTATCAGCCAGCTGATTTTCGAGCCTTCCGGGCCCACCGGAAGTCAGGAAATGGGCCGTTTCCGGCCTTCGGAGGGCCTCGGAATGGGTAGAGGAGGCAGTTTTCATCTTCCCCTGGCTCCAAGAAAGCCTCTGGAGCCTGAGGAAGGCGAAAAATGGACCTACCGGGCCCACAGGTAACCTTTTTGCCGTTGTGTGCCAAAAGTGGGGGGAGTGCAGGGTGTCACACGTGCATGCACAAGGGGGTGGGGCGGGGGTGCATTGAATTATGGTTTTGGGCACACGTGCGCACGACCCCCCCGCGCTCCCCCACTTTTGGCACACGACGGCAAAAAGGTTAGCCATCACTGCCCTATAACATTTCAATTAGGTTGCTATCCAGTTTTTATTAAAAAACTTCCAGAGATGAAGCCCCTATAACTTCTGAAGGCAAGCTGTCCCAATGGTTAATTGTCCTCACAGATAGGAATTTCTCCTTAATTCCATAATATGAATATTTGGAAAGTACTATATAAAACTGTAACTATTTGGGAGCGACTTGGCATAGTTATTTTGACTGATTTGCTATTTCTTTCTTTCACGAACTAGATCCAACACAGTGAAATTGCACGTTTTGTGTTTATTTTTATCACTTCTTTTTATACAACTTCTTGAAATTGTTTAAAAGTTAGATACATATTTAAGGTAATATTCACTGATTTTATAAGGCTGAGATAAAACTGATATTTGGGGTGGCATCAAGATTTAGGGGTAGGATCCACACAATTGCAGGTGCGTGTCAACTATGTTGTTCTAAACATTAAAAAATCAGCAACAACCTTGTAATCTTTTATTATGCTGCAGTAAAGTATTTTGTACAGATTTGCTACACTGCCTTTTGTCCAGTCCTTGGAAAATAAAGGATCCTCATATTCAAAATTAAAGTTCTAATTACCCTTTTGAAGTTCATTTTTTAAAAAATCTTTAAACTTATATTTAAATTTTCTTTTGCTAAAAATTGAAGGAAACTCACCCTGCACTTTCAGATTTGTTAATCCAAAGGTTCCTAATAGTTGAAAAGCAGTTAAAAAAGCAATTTCTAAAAGTGATTAGAAAAGGTAGTATACGAACCTAGTGTCCTTTGAAGGTTCCGACTGTGATTAGAACAAGATGGCTATTCCTTTATCTCCCAGAGCTCTAAACCCACTGGAGATCACTATCCTGCAGTCTCCTCGTGAGGAGCAACTGTGGGCGATCTCAAGTCCTCTTTGTGCCCAGAGAGAAATTACAAAAATCTGGTCTACTAGCTGGCTTCGCATTTTACCACCGTTGTCCTCTGTATCTCTTCAGTTTATCATATCTTCCCCAGAAGTCACAAACCTTACTTCCTAATCACTTTCAAGAAATTGCCTATTCACCATTTTCAAGCTTGTTGGCCCAAAAGTCTCTGATAGCTATAAAATGGTTAAAATATTTTCATCAGGTGAGTTTATCTTCAACTCTGAACAAAAGAAAAATCAATCATAGGTTTAAGAACTTAAAGAATTCAAAATAACAAAAACCCAAGAGCTAAATAAGCTTTTGATCTTAGGACGTTATACAGGGATGAAAGGTCCAGATAAATCTGACTTTTGCTACAAGATTTTGGAATTAGCTATGAAAAATAAACAGCTTCTTGTGGGTAACAGATGTATTTTAGCTCTCCTAAACAGTGTAAATCGTAACAAAGATAAGTGATAATTTTAGAAACTAAATACTAGAGGGGTCTAAAAATTACAAGCAAAAAACCAGGATTTCATTACAATGAATGGCCTTAAAATGATAATTAAAATTTCAAAAATGTGTAGTTGGATAATGTGGATTTAAGAAAAGATTTAAAGAAAAGAAATTCAACTGTGTTATGGGACATCATTGTAATACATTCTCCACAGAGCTCAATTCCACATTTACTCAAAATCTACCCTGAAGATGTGAGGGAATTTCTGGAGCAATTTTTAAAGGGGAAGAGGTAAACAGTTTTAAAGGTAAAAAGACAGAGCTTGCTATCATAAACAAGCTCTCCGGAGGTACACTGTTTTACTTGTTGAGAAAGTTAAGTTACCTTCATACTAAAAATTAAATTTTTCAGTATTGGTAAAAAATAAAAAAAAAAGTTTCCTAAACAATATAATGTCCAAAAACCTGCATACATCCAAGGCCTTCTTGTGCATGAGATTTCTTCCTGGATTTCACTATTAACCAAAGTTGTTGCTCAGAACTATTATCCAAAACTGCATTTGTCAAAACAAATCTTTTGGACAGAAATTACTTGGGTAAACTCTGGACTATAGTCAATGACTAGCCATAGGAAACAAAACCAAAATTCTACCCATCCTCCCCCCCCCCCCCCCCCCCCAAAAAAAAAAAAAAAAAAGATAAATACCATTTTCAATCTTGGTCTTCGGATGTGGTCCACTAAACGCTAAGAATTTTCCAGGGACAATCCAATTGAAGTCACCATTTTCTACTCTCTATGGAAAATGAAAGGAGAGAATTTTTTTTAAAAAAGATCTCTTTTCAATGTTTGAACAGTATCTTGTTTTGAAAAGTTCATAAAAATGTAGCTTTGCTTTAATAGCTGACTAATGTCACTCATGGGGGAAAAAAAAGTTTGCTGAAAGATTACCTTAGGCAATTTGCTAGTAAAATCCATCTAATTCTATCAACAAATCATCATGAGGACCAGCAAGTACTGTACTTTTATTTTCAGAATTCACAAAGGCAATGGAAGTCTGCCATATTATTAAGATTTGTAAAATTGATGTTTAAAACAATTCATAATTAAAACCAATCAGTGTTAACATTTTTACATTGTAAATACAGCTTCCTGCACTTTAAAATTTGTTGCAAGACCATATTTGTTTCCATTTCTATACCGCCCTTCTCCAAACAGGACTCAGGGCAGTGAACAGCCAAAGTAAAAAACAGAACATACAAAATTTAAAAACAGTTTAAAATAATTAAATATTTTGGCCGTAAATTAAAACAACCCAATTTAAAATCAATTTAAAATTTAACTCAAGCCAGCCCATATGTAACTCCTCTTATATCAAATAATGAATTATGAGTAGGAATTCTGTGTCAATTGAAATCACTGACATTATACTTTTAGTAGCAAGGTTACACAGATAAGAAGTGGAATTCATTTTGAAAATTTAAGTACTGCCTGAAAATGTCAACTTAACAAATTACCTTAAATAACATTGCTTAGTGTAATAGTTTTATATAGCAATTGGTTAATCTAGCTGCCTATTATTCCTTTTTAAAAAAATGTGACTGAGCACATATACATTTTCAACTGTATTCTTGAAGCATTGTTTCAGATTTAGTACTTATAAGTATTGTATTAGGCTAAGAGATGTCACATTACTTGCTCAAAATACACATTAGAGTAATGAGATTCCACAAGCTAAGTGTCAAGCAAATTTAAGCTTTTTCTAAGTTTGGGAATTAAACAACCAGTACATTTTCCTAGATTTGTAGCAACTTAATGAATGTTTTAATGAATGACTTCAGTACCATTGAATAATATATAAATTAGCTTGTTCATATATCAGATAATCCTGGGGCTGTAACAATCTTTTATTGCTTTTCCGTGATACTTTTATGACAAAGAAACTAAAAACTTATACAACAATTTAAAAATCATCAGTACTACACCAAATGTATATAAGTATCTCAAGTATAGCAAATTTTATAATTTATCTGTAAATTAGCAACTTCATCATTTAAAATATATACAAACCTCATAGTGTTCATATTCATCTGCATCAAATGTCTTGAAATCAACAAATCCATGTTGTAAGGCCTAGAAAAAAAGCATATCAAATTCTCATGAAGCTGTTCATAAAAAAAAAAAAGAATCCAGTCCCTTCTGAAATAATATAAATGGAATTAGTGCTTATTTTACATCTTTAGAAACTGTTTTAGGCTGTTGATAGTGTTATAATCAAGATTGTTACTTGTTGTTGTACAGTTTATGACTTAGCAAAACCAACTATCTTGACTCCAAGTTTCCATTTTGATCCAGAAAGAATAGTTAACTAAGAGTGATGGGATGAAACAAACTGTAATAGAAACAAGGAACATATTGCTAGAGACGCTACCTTTTATCTCTCCCAGTGATTAAATTCAGAAGTTGTGCTTCTTTCTTAAGCTAGAAACTTCTCCCTGTAACCCTCTTCAGGAGGAAGCTTTGAAATTATCCATCCAGAGGTGTAGCAAAAAAACAAAACAACAACCAAAAAACCCCAGTCCATTTTCTAAAATGGTTTAACATCTTTTTAGAACGTAACACCCAAGAAATTGGAATTTTATTGGGTGCCACCCCCCCTTTTCCTCTCTAGCAGCCTAAACAGGATATTTAAGGATTTTTTTCCCCACTACTCTAGATACTACATGTTCTTTGTTCTGTCCCAGTCTGATGTTCAAATGTTGTTAATATTGTGACACAACATCCCTCCCCACAAACTGGGGCTACTTCAAACAGAGCACCCCTATTGATTCTACATGTTTTTCATAGGCTGGAAAATGTTCTTAGGGTATCTTAAATGGGCACTTAAAAAGGCTGCCCTCCCAATCTACGTTGCTTTTATTCTTAATTATGCCCTCAAAGGTTTAAAAAAAATGTGTAAAAAAGAAAAACATAAAACACCCAAATGAACCTACTGAAAGATTACATTTGATTTGAAGGATAAATGGCAAACCAGGTCTGATCATGGCCTAATGTTTTGTGTTACGCTCTCAAAAAATATCTAAGAAGGTATTTTCTTTCCCCTGAGCACTGTAAGGTTACCTTTTTTAGTCCTTGTAGACAGTCGAGAATAGATAGATTATATGTACAGTTCCCAAACGAAGCATCCCTATGAAGAAAAGAAAATATTAACCTGTCAGAGGAACAGAGAACAGCCAAGTATCACAATAACGCTGAAGAGAGTGATGTATGGCCTCCAAGCTTTTAGATTTCTAAAAATTTCAATCTTGAGATCATAGTTCAATTATACGTCTAAGCATGTAGAGAGGGATCGCTTCAACTAACTAAAGAATGTGTGAACTAAAGAACTAACTAACTAAAGAATGTGTGTTCATTTAAAAGATTAATAGAATTATTTTAAAATGAAGCAACTGATTTTTCCAAAGGAGGAAAATTGTGCAGTATCTCTGGACACTCTAGATTCCCATTTAATGGAATTATTCTAAAGCCCATCCCTACTTAAACTATTTAAGTATAAGAGTTTTCATACACTAGTCTGAATAAAAATAAAATAGAAGACAACAGTAGAAGATATGTAAACAAAATTGTCTTTCAAACTATTATCATCTACAAGTAGTCCTCAATTTACGACAACTGAGTCCAAAATTTCCATTTATAAGCAAGACTGCTGTTAAGTGAGTTTTGCCCCATTTTACAACCTTTCTTGCCAGTTGTGAATCACTGCAGTTGTAAAGTTTTTAACATGGTTGTTAAGTGAATCTGGCTTCCCCCTTGTCTTTGATTTTGATTTTGGTCATAAAATCTGATCACATGACCCCGGGACACTGCATCTCTCATAAATACGAGTCAGTTGCCAAGTATCTGAATTTTGATTGTGTGACCATGGGGATGCTGCAACGGTTGTAAGTGTGAAAAACAGCCATAAGTCACTTTTTGCAGTGCTGTTGCAACTTGGAATGATCACTAAATGAATGGTAAATCAAGGATTAACTGTATTACATTCACCTACCATGTTTCCCCAAAAATAAGACCCTGTCTTATATTTTTTTGAACCCTGAAATAAGTGCTTGGCCTTATTGCCATGCGCTCAAAAGCCCGATTGGGCTTATTATCAGGGGATGTCTTATTTGGGGGGAAACAGGGTAGATGAATATGATTTTAGGCTTTTTATTGATTTCTAAAATTTATATTACATAATTAATATTACAGCTCTCAATATCTCTGGTCAAAATAGTTGCACTTCCATCGGGGTCATGCGATTGTGATTTGAATGCTTGGTAACTCGCTTGCATTTACAATGATTGCAGCTTAACTGTGTGATACACTTAACAATCATGGTAAAAATGGCGGAAAATTGGGTCCAATCACATGATGGCTCACTTAATCGATGCACCACTTATCGACCAAAACTCCAATCCCAATTGAGGTTGCAAGTCAAGGACTACTAGTAGTACCATACTGTTGAAGTCTACTTTGTCTAAAAGCAGTATGGTTACTAACATATTCATATATAATATTTTGTTATTAGAATCAAAATTGAATACCTTAATGTTTACCAAAATGTCCATTGTCTATAGACAATTATGAATCTCTAATATCCATTTTGTAATTACAATTAAAAACATACCTTCATGTACTATTATTAAAAGTGTTCTATTTCATTGGATTGCTGCTAAGAGGACAATGTATTTAATATATTTGTCATACATATATTTTTGCATTTATATCAAATCCTGGAGGTTTCTGTGACCTCCAGTTCAACCAACGTCTAAGGAAATGATCTTCACAGAAAGAGTATACGCATATTCTCTTTAACTTGTGAAACATAGTGTTATAAAATAAATCCAAAATCAATAGCAACAGGAACAAGGTGTGTAATTTTCTTCTGTGAGAAGAATTGTGCCAGTTATTGCAACATATTATAGATCAGTGATAGAATCTGAATATTTACAGTTTGCTCATGAAGCAGAAACCATATTTTTAAAAACAAAGCAATTTCTTTGTTAATTAAACTTGTTAATGTTTTATAAAGGGAAAGTTCAAAATTTATACATGGGAAAAGCTAGGCAAAAATACAGTTTCTTGCCCAAGGCTAAGTATATTTTCTGTTTAAATAATTCATCATTCAATAGAGCTTTACAATGTTTGAGGCAGTACGATCGAGATTAGTAGCAAAGGCAACTAGATTCTTCCCAATGAGTTATATTAAACATAATGATTTTAACGGGGCTAAACTACAAAAACATTACAATATATAGTTGATTTCAATCAAACTGAGAACTCCATAATGTTTTAAAGGAGATGTAAGTGAAAATGAATTCACATGGAATAGCAACTGAACCTTTAGTGCAAGTTTTAAATGCCTATACCAAGTGTATGAAAATGATGTACTGCCAGATGTGCTAATTAAAGTTGACAAGTCTAATGTAGTAACAATGAGCTATAATAAATGAAATGTGATCTGAAAAAAATAATTTGTTTTCAGAAAAGGTATAAATAAATTTCAGAGTCCCATTATTATAAGATACGTTTTGAATGTTGGAAGGGCTAACACACCTCTAATATATATCTTATTTAAATACTTTTCTTTAAATTTTTAATCCCCCCCTCAAAAAACCCCGCTTTCATTCATTGATTAAAACAAATGTTAAATAATATAGCCCAAAGATTATGCATGAGCCTTTTCAGCTGCAATCTGGGTCAATTTGAAAGTACCAGTAAACTAATTTATACTTATACCTTATTTCTGTGTTATGCAATAAATATTGGAATGTTTTCAATTATAATTTCTACAGCTATCTAAAAAAAGGAGAGCTGCCAATTTAAAAATGGTTTTAGCTAATACTCTTTGCTCAATATCCATATTCATGTGTAGTCCACCCTTATAATCCTGTCCAAGTAGGAGAATTTACATTAAAAAATGTACTACTTTCTATAGTAGTGTTTTATGGATGCAGAAGATGTTTAGATAAAGGTCAGGTATCAAGATATGGTTAAAAAAAAATGTGTAAATTTTCTAGCTCTTCAACTAACACTAGAAAACAAAGTTGTGAAGAAACATAAATTTGCATAAGTAAAATTAAGTTTTCTTGATAAGCAGTATACAAAATTCTGGATATGAAAGTTTCTCCTTAATTGTAAGGGTAAAAGCACATATATCTCTCCTCACCTATAGCAAGACAGTATAAATGAATATGCCTCGATGTTGTAAGTTTGAACACTCAGTTTCACCAAACACAGAACTGAATTAGCAAATATTTTAATAGTATGCAAATTACTGATTATAATATACTGAAATAATGTAGATTTTATCCAAACTTCTGTTGGTGTAGCATCTGAAAATTACGAATTTTCTTCCAGAGTCAATTTTTCTGAAACTCTGTTTTTGGATGCAAGTATTCCCGACTCCCTTAAATACACAGAACAACTTTACCCCGGAAGCAAGTAGCCCTTTATTCACACTCATTTAAGGATTTGATATAGGTGCCCAGATACCAAATCTAATTTCATATTATAACAGATTAAGATAAAGGTAAAGGTTCCCCTCGCACATATGTGCTAGTTATTCCCGACTCTAGGGGGCGGTGCTCATCTCTGTTTTAAAGCTGAAGAGCCAGCGCTGTCCGAAGATGTCTCCTGGGTCATGTGGCTGGCATGACTAAACACCAAAGGCACACGGAACATTGTTACCTTCCCACCAAAGGTGGTCCATATTTTTCTACTTGCATTTTTTATGTGCTTTCAAACTGCTAGGTTGGCAGAAGCTGGGACAAGTAACGGGGGCTTACCCCGTTACGAGGCACTAGGGATTCGAACCACTGAACTGCCGACCTTTCGATCAACAAGCCAGGCATCTTAGCCACTGAGCCACCACGTCCCTCTATAACATATTACCCGTAGCAAATTCATATTTCTTCATGCTGATATCTTTCATCTTCCATGTCAGAAATCAGGATGAATGATTAACAAACAACTATGCTGCTTTTGGTCAACATCAAGATGTTTGATAACATTTAACAGCGTACTGCAATCCAGTTGCTAGGTTTTTTTTAAGCAAGCAAACAAACAGAACATCTGGGAGAAAAGATACAGAAAACCTTTCAAAACACATTGTACTGGGATTCTATTAAGGCTGAGACCTAACATACAATTTGATTCAGATGATGCTTGCACAATTCAGAAGCCATCTTAAAAATCAAATTTTGGTACTTCCCCACTCAACTATCATTGAGAAATCAAGAAACAGGTGTAAGTTTAGCAATTATATGTAATACTGCTTGACAGATTCTGTTGCCTGTTATGGACAGAAAAAAAATCCCCTATTGAGAAAGCAGTTGCAAGGAATTTTGTGCAAGAGCAATTTTGGGAGAGTTTCATTAAGAATTTGCTAGCTCTTCCAGTTCTATACAGGCAGGGCAATTGCTACGAAAATGACTTACAGTACTTGACAGAGGAGACTTAAAGGACAATTCATACCAATTTTTAGTATAGATTTATTCAGGGGATTTAGGAGTAATCTCTACAGGCAGATTTCTATTAATGCCATTACTACAGCATTCTGCTGTGGTTCTTCAAAATAAGCCTTTCCTTTTTTGAGCTTTCTTCAAATAGAACCTTCTTTTTCTCCATTTTACACAATCAATTAGCATCTAAAAACCCAGCACAACTGTGTGTGAGCTAGCATCAACCATATGTGCACTAGCCTCATGCTAATTGCATTTTAGATCATATTAAATAGAATCTGGTATCAATTTGTTAAATCATACTAGATCAGAGGTGTCAAACTCAAAGCCTGTGGGCCAGATCTGGCCCAAGGGGCTGCCCTGGAAACAGCAAAGGACCGGCCTGCAATGCCTCTGCTAGTGAAAACGGAACTTGAGATGTATGTGGCCCTCCCAAGCTTTGTTTTCGCTGGCAGAGGGTTCCAGGAGGTCATCACAGCTGAAAACAGAACTCGGAAGCCCGTTTTTGCTGACAGAACGTTCGGGCCACCACAGGCACCCCCAACACGAGTGATGTCGAGCTGGCCATGCTCCCTGGCCACCTCTGCCTCCTCCCGAGGTCAAACACAACCCTGATGAAATCGAGTTTGACGCCCCTGTAGTAGATCAAATTTCACACTTTGGGCTGGCATGAGTTGCAACCTAC